ATTTTCTGTTTCATTGGCTCCACTTCCTCCCGTTAAGTCCCCTCTAAAACTTTCCCCGTCTAATGTTCCTCCCATCTTGGAAAATAAAGGTAAAATTTTTGAATCTCCAAAGACTTCTTCTCACTTGCTATGCATAAGCTGTAGGGACTTAGGCCACATCTCTTCCAAATGTCCTAATCGAGCCTTAGTCATAGAAGAACGAAAGAATGTAATAGAAGAGTCGTTAGAAGATCTAGTGTACAAACCTAAACTTGAAGATTTTGAAGATGATAGTAAGGACATCTCCTTAGGTGGCACTCAGACTCTTCCTGAGACTCTAGATACTAAATCCCATGATTTCACTAGTCACTTTTGGAGAACCCAGTCGCCTATGGTTAACACTAAATCAAAATTCTCCACTGCAGACCAACATCAAACTGATAGTCAAAATGAAGTCGTTAACCAAAGTCCTAGTAATTTATTCAAGTCTCTAGTCCAGAAAAATTTTGGGAATTGAGACTCGATCCCCCCAACTGTTCACATTGCATATAACAATTCTATGAATCAGTCTCTAGGTCTAAATCCATTTGAAGTTGTTCATAGTTATAAGTCTAGGTGGCCGTTAGATCTTATTCCCATATCCCCGCATGCTAGTGTGTCGTTGTCGGCTGAAGCATTTGTACGTCATCTTCATGACTTGCATATTGAGATCAATAAACAACATGACACAAGTAATGCATTATATAAACTTCAAGCTGATTCACATAAACGATATTTTGAATTTAATATTGGGGATTATGTTATATTGCAAGCTTGTAGTGCTGGTCTTTTAAAAATGTTAAAGCATGTTGGTTCAAATGCACATGTCATTGCCCTTTTGTCACATTTTGGCTACCACTCTACTTTAAATATTGAGGACTTCATTACTTACAAACACAATTTTACTTCCTTTGATGATCTATTTCTACTTAGCTTTGTGGACCCCAACTTGACTATATTGATATTTCTACTTCAATACCATCTATCAAAGCACACAAAAATAAAATTGATGTTATTTTAGATGAACGTGTTGTATTGACCAATGATGGCAAGATTCAGTATTTCCTTGTTTGTTGGGTAGATCGACGTGCTTCTTATGCTCCTCATTATATATAATCATGTGAAAATTTTGAAGATGAGGTGCATGAGTATTGGTTATTTGGAGTCCAATATCAGTACTTGGTTAGAAGGAAAAATCGTCCTCCTTGGTCAAATCATATTCTTGGGAATAAGCTACAGTTTCAGTACTATCAATCATGAAATTTCGTTACTTAGTTCGTCCAAAAAAATCATCCCTCGTGGCTTGACTTGACGCATTTGGAGTATCAGATTGACTGCAGCCTATACTATCTATCAACTCGACAGGGTCGAATTTTTCTCCCACTCCGGGAGAGTTGACGAGGACATCTACTTTTTATTTATTTGGACTTTATTTATGTTTTAGATTTTATTTATGTAATTGGGCTTGTGTTGGCCCAAGTCCATTCTACTTAGAGTTTTAGTCTTTACTATTTAAACTTAATTACGATGTAATTTCATTAGTTTTGATGAATTGAAGAATATTTTGGTGGTTTGTTGCCTATGGCTTCTCCTTCCTCTCCCTCCCCCTCTCCCTCTCTCCCATGAATTTCTGATTCTTCTCCGGTTTCTCCCCTCTTTCTTGCTCCTTCTTTCTATTTTTTAATTCGTCCTGCATCACAATGGCTGCACTATCAATAAATCCATTTATGTTTGAGAAAATTCAGAAGTTTCTTGCAACATAATCAAATGCAAAACAACCACATGCAACGTCTTCCTCTCATATAGGTTTGTCCTACTCTAGTTCTTAGGTATAAATCCTTTTTGTGGGTCTCGGATTATGGTGCTTCCCATTATATGTCACCTAAACTGTCGTCTTTTGTTTCATTATCTCACAAGTCTTTTGTGTCAATTATAATTATTGATAGTACTCATATGGCGGATGTTGGTTCCCTTAATACACATTGTTTGTCTCTCCATAACGTCTACAGTATTTCTAGTCTCACTTTAAATCTTGGTCCTGATAGTCAATTATGTAAATATGGATACTTAATCTTTTTCTTCTTCTTCCACTTGTTATGCGCAAGATCGTAATTCCAGAAGCCGACTGGGACTGATTATAGGCAAAGGTACTCTATGTTTTGTATCGACTTAAAGTAATAGAAATTACACATTCTAGTGTTGACTTGTCATCTTTTAGTTTGGGTCGTTCTATCTGTATTTTTTATTTATGGCATTATTGCCTTCATCAAATTTTATCACCTCATTCGTAGTTCTTATTTTCTACAGGAGTGTTTGGAACATTTGATCTTGTTCATTTTAATGTATGGGGGCCCTTTCACATGACCATTAACCGGGGTTCATGATATTTTATTTCCTTTATTGATTATTACATTTTATGCTATTGGGTTTTCTTATTAAACGTTGTTCTAACTTCACAAGTATTTTTAGTGCATTTCGAGCACTTGTGAAAACTTAACAATCGATTATCATAAAATGTTTTTCTATGTTAACTAAGTAGAGAGTATACTACTAACAATTTTTCTGATTTGCTTACTTTGTGATGGATTTATTCACTAAATTGCTTGTACAAACATTTTCGAATAGAATGGTGTTGTCGCAAGAAACCATAGATATCTTGTTGAGACTCCTGTTTCGTCTCTTTGGTTATATTCCTAGTGAATTCTAGGAAGAAGCAATTTTTACTGCTGCTCATTTGATTAATAGGATTTTAATATCACAAAATTCAAGTTTGTCTCCTTTTGAGGTTTTTTATAGATACGTTCCTGATTATTCTTCCTTGGGTGTATTTGGTTCTACCTATTTTGTAATTCAACCTCTTGTCGAGCATGGTATATTATCCACTAGATCTGCTATTTTGTCTTTTGGGTTATGGTGTAGGACAAACGTGATATTTTTGTTTTAATTAGTCAAAAACTGTATTTCTCTCGTCATATTGTGTTTCTTGAACATATATCTTTACTTTCTATTCCTACTAGTTTCATAATATGACTAAATCTGATTTTATTCACATTCTCCATTCCCTCTTGATACTGATATTATCCTACCCCTTGTTCCAACTCATCTCCTTTACTTTAGATCATGATCCTTACGAGGTTCCCATTGATAGTTCTACAGATACTGGTACTTTAGTTCTCAGTACACTAGCTCTTCCCTTTCCTCTTATGGTTGCCAATGACTTCTCGAGATTGTTGATCCTCCTCCTCCTCGTTACCTTAGGCGTACTCGTAAGTCCTATAAATTATTAGATTTTGATTACTCTTGTTATTCTAGCTCTTTCTTTTCCCTTTTAGCTTCTATTTATCATCTTTTCTAAGTCTTGTACCATAAAGAGACAATTTGTGACCCACTTTGACAGAAAGCTTTGGCTAAGAAACTTATTATTTTGCATCAGACACACACTTGGGACTTAGTATCTCTATCGCCAGGAAAATCAGCAATTGATTCTTGCTGGGTTTATAAAAAAAATAAAAATAAAATTAGACAAATATGTCGAAATATATATAGCCCAATTAGTTGGTAAAGGATACTTTCAAGTATGTTATGGATTATGATGATACTTCTATACTTGCTGCAAAAATGACTATGATTCGGACATTTTCTGTAGTTTCCTCTGTTCGTCAATGGAACACATTTCAGATGATGTAAAAAATGCCTTCTAGAATGGCGATATACAGGAAGAAATCTAAATGATTCTCTATCCTAGTTTTTCTCATAAATCTGGTGAAGTTGAAGCCCTCTACTATCTCAAACAGGCACCTCATGCTTGATTTGAGAAGTTTTCTACCATGAATACATCACTTGATCTCCTTCTTAGCCACCACGATTCATTTTTATTTCACAGATGTACCATCGGTCATGTTTTGTTCTCTTTATATGTTGACAACATAACTATTACTTGTAATGATGTTGATGGGATTGTAGCACTAAAGACAGAGTTAGCTCGTTGTTTAACAACGAAAGATTTAAGTTCATTTCGTCACTTTTTAGATATTGAAGTTGCATCCTCTCCAAGAGGTTATCTTCTTTCTAAGTATATAGCTAATATATTTGAGAGTACTCGTCTGACTGATAATAAGACTACTGATGCACCTCTTGAGCTTAATACTCGATATTCTCCTTTTGATAGTTCTCCATTTTCGAATCCTAATTTATATCGTACTGTTGTTAGTATCTTGTTCATCTCACTATCTCTCATCTATGTATTGCATATGTTCATATAGTTAATCAGTTTGTTACCTCACCTGCTATAATTCATTAGGTTGTTGTTCATTGCATTTTGGGATATTTTCGCGTACTCAATTTCAGAGTCTTTTACTTTATCTCTAAAGTTACTAGCATATTTTGATGTTGATTGGACTTGTGATCTTACATATCATAAGTCTACCACTGGCTTTTCTAAATTTTCCACAAAATAAGAGTATCATGCAATGACTCCTACAACATGTGTGATAGTTTGGTTACATTTGTTGCTTGTAGATATGGGTGTATCTCTTTGTCGACCTACTCCATTGTATTTATAACAATAAGAGTGTTATTCAGATTTTGCGTAATTCAATATTTCATGAGAGGACCAAACATAATGAAATTGATTATCATGTCACTCGGCATTATAATCAGCTTTGAACTCTCACATTAACTTTTGCTCCTTCCCCCATACAGATTGTTGACTTATTTACAGTCACATTTCACCATGCGATTTCCTAATTTATTTGGAAAACTCATGATGCTTCTTGCAACAGCGTCACGAGTTTGAGGAGAGATGAAATATATTAATTTTTATCTGGTAGCATGACTATGTAAACTTATTTTTCTTGTATTTTCATTATGCAATTAATCGAGAAAACCTAACCTATTTTCTTTTCTCTATATTTTGTTTATTGATTTTTAATAAATGACCCAAGAAAATGGAGTGGTAAGAAGATTCACATAGCCGACCTAAATTTATCCGAAACAAACTTTAGTTTTCCATTATCTAGAAAGAAATGAAGTGGCGACAGGCCATTAAACAGTATTATACAAACAATCATCATGCCATACAACTGTATGAAATCATAAGCAAATCTAAAACACAACCAATGATAGAAAATGCAACAGGAAATTTTAGTTTCAACTTCAAATTAACTCTTATTATCACCTCATATTCATAGGCTGTGATTTCTTCTTGCCCTGTTTTGGCAGTGGAACTTGAATAAATCCAAATTTCTTCTTCTGCATAAAGAATTGCTTCTCAACATTACCCCCATCTGCTGCTGGTTTTGTAGGATGCAAAATAAGTCGACTCTGTTTGCGCAGCATTTGGCTCAACGAAATATGTTGCCTTTCAGTTCGGTTCTCCACATGATTTCCCACCATGAAATCATCTTGTAGAATCAATTTCCTACTCATTATGTCTCCTATTGAAGTTGTAGATCTAAAACCAGGAACCGAATCATTTGTATTGAGATCAGGTGGATTACTGCGGCCAAGAGAGGAGCGAGAATTTTTAAATTTGAATTTAGCCGAGTGATTCTGCTCTCCATCATTCTCCAATCGCGTTTGAGAAAACCTATCCCCGTGGACTTCTATTCTACGAGTTTCTTCTTTGCTGCGAAAATCATCTTTGGTTTGTTTGTTTTCTTTGGTTATTTCCTCAAAGTTCTCCAGCATAACTGCTTCCGCATGACGTTCTTCATTGGTTTGATGCATGGCACTGGTATCTATAAATTTTGTTTTCCACAGCTCTTCACCTTGTTGTGCTTTTCGAGTAAGAGATTGGTACTCTTCAAATGACAGAGTTATTTCATTAGGCTTATGCAGTAAAACGTCTGATGAATTCTCACCATTCAACAGAGAGGTTTTTTCAGCCAGAGAAATAGCTTCCACTGCTTTAGCTGCTTCTTCCATCTTTTTTGCTGCATTCAACCTCATTTCGGCCATTTTAATACTGTTCTTTGTCCGTTCAATCTCCGCCATTGCCTTCATGACCTCGTATCTTGAAGCTTCTGTCATCTTCTTAAACTGCTCATCCTCAAAATTCACTAAATTTAGTTCCTTGGAGATATTCGTAGAACTCTGCAAGCCCCCTTTAGTTTCTACCTTCTCAACTATATTAGACAAGGCTCCTTCAGAATTTGGTACTTGTGGCTTTGTTCTCATTTCAAGCAAAATTCCTTCTTTTCTCAATTTTTTGTTCAGAGACTCAACAGAGGCTCGAATTACATTAAGATCTACAGAAGTCTTACTAAGGCTTGATTTAGCTTGATTCAACTCAGTGAAAATCAAACCAGGGGATGGAACCGGGCACAAGCTCAACCGTTCAGCTGATTCCTCATTTGAAACAGTGATTTCCCTTTCCAAATTTATGTCAGGAGTTGCACAGAATGAAGGCACTTCTTGCATCAGGTTCACTTTTAAGTATTCAACATATCTTTTAGCCGCTTCCAGTTCTTTTAAAACGCTAAGTGTTTCCTGCTCTTTCATGATTAAATCCCTTTCCAATTGGACTGCATGACCCTCCATTTTCTCCACATTAAAGACTTCATTATAAGGCTGCAGTCGATGAATATCAAGCAATTTCAAAACGAATGATATAGACCAATTGCAAATCATCAAACGTCTGAATTGTGGAGCATTACCACAAGTTGATGGATCTTACACTTTGTAGTTTCGTGCATTGTAACAAAAATTGCTAGTGGCAGGACAAATTAGAATGGAGAAACCCTCTTGTTTTATCTGGAATAATAATAAGACTTTCTGATACTTTTTAGAGGAGGTGAGGCATTTCCACTCCCCCCTCAAGCCGACCCAACGAAACAATGAAAAAGTAAAATGGCGAGAAAGAGAATAAAATTAAAAGATACGAAAGAGGAAAATGGCTGAAAAAGAACAAACTTAAGGAATCGGTGACTGCTGAGGAACTGCTAGCTATGGCTATAGACGCAACTGAAGATGCTACAAGAATCGAGTCAATAAGATACCTTTCCCTTCATAGGGTACTTTAGAATCTATAAATAAAGCAAAACTTCCATTTAATAAATGAAAATTTTAAAGTTGAAAAAAAAATCCAAGAATGGCAGAATCCTATGTTTACTACTGTAATACCAGAGCCCACATCTTAAGTTTTTAGATTAAGTAATTCAACACACACCTTTGATCAATGGCTGCCCGACTGCCATGATTAAACTGTTGCGTGACTATGCCAAATGTAAGAAACTAGAAATTGAATATATTTGAGCCCACCACCATATATAATTACTGTGTGTATCCTATAGGCCTCAGTTAGGCAATCTCATCGCTTGTCTTGTTTTGTAAGTACGCTGATAGCTACAAAGCAACAGTAGGAAATTCTTGCTAAAATTTAGAACACAAACCATCAATCAAATGGCAAAACAAATTAACAGTAAATACAATTTTTTTTTTTTTTTTTGGTTTTATTAGAAATGATAATGCCCAACTAAAAACAGAGTCACAGAAAACTTGCAATACGTTTGCATCCAAAGTAAAGTGAAGTGAAAATAATGGAAATATTGGGGGCAGCAAGAACTCACGTGATCAGCAGCTAAATGAAGAAACTGACGGGGAATCCAAGGACCGCTGCCGCCAAACCGGTCTACCGCCTCCTTAACTGACTCGAACGGCGGCGACGTGTCGATTTCCACTCTCGGGTTGACCATTTTTTTGGTTTCTGTAATGGCTGATTTTGTGGTTTCGGTTTCGGCCATAACTGGGAAAGCTGTAAGGTTTTTGTGCGTGAGGAATGTAGATTACTAACTGCAAAATATATAGGCAAGCACCATTGGGAGGATGAATATTGAAAAATTAATAAAGGAATAAGGTGACACAGTAATGAATCATGATGGTTATTTATGTCGGACGGGGACCAAGTAAAAGGAAAGGTAAATTCTTTTACTTTCTCAACACACGGTTTAACTGGTGTGTGTGAGTTAGTGCAACTACTGTGTGAGCTAGTGTAAATAGGGTCGAATAATCGACGCTCGGGATATACCAGCTTGTAACATGCCTAGTGTAAATAAAGTCGGATGATCGAGGCTCTGGATAGACCGGCTTGTAAAAGGCTTGGTGCAGGACATTGGTAGAAAATCAATTATCGATCGATTTGTTACTAAAAATGAATTAAGACCAACTTTGTCCATCAATAAATAAAGAGATTTTCTTTTGAATATTTAGAGTACCTCAATATTTTGAGGTTACGAGAAGATTTTTGAGTACTTGTGTATTTTGCTTTGAATGGATTTTGTAAGCATCTTTACATGCTTGGTTCAAAAATAAATAATTGACTTTACTTAAACAATTTTAAAAATTTATTCACAAGAAGGAGCTATTAAAATACAATTTTTTCTCGAATTCACTCATATAAGAATTGCATTATAACTAAATGCATAATTAATTTCAACATTAATAATTGGATCAACATATTAGATTCCAGAGTCAATTAGGACTGAGTAAATCTCTCGAACCGAACTCGAATTCGAACCCGACGGTTCTTGTCAAATTAAATACCCGAACGGGTATCTGAATTGAGAACCGATGTGTATGGTTCGGTTCGGTTCTCGGTTATAGACCAAGAACCGAATAAGAACCTACTAAATAACTCCAAATACCTACATTAAAGTGCATAACGCTATCTCGATTCTCACAGCCTCGCTGACATTTCAAAATCTATACAATCGTCGATTGACGCTGTGACCTCCGATCGAAACTATGACCTCCGCCAACCGAAATTTTGACCGTAGCGATCATTTGAACAAGGTAGTCTACGAGTCTCCGACATTTCAAAACCATTGAATGTGTTATTAGTTGTATTTATATAATGTTGTTATAAATGTTAAAAAATTTAATTATAGTACAGAATCGAACCTATAATTACTGTGTGTATCCTATAGGCCTCAGTTAGGCAATCTCATCGCTTGTCTTGTTTTGTAAGTACACTGATAGCTACAAAGCAACAGTAGGAAATTCTTGCTAAAATTTAGAACACAAACCATCAATCAAATGCCAAAACAAATTAATAGTAAATACAATTTTTTTTTTTTTTTTTTTTTTTTTTTTTTTTTTT